AACTTCTTGGTGACCTTCTTCCTTTCTTTCCCACCCTCTTTAATTGGCCCTAAGGAGCCCTGTTGGCGCAGTAGTTAAGCACTCAGCTGCTAATCAGAAGGTCAGCCATCTGAACCTATCAGCCGCTCCATGGGAAAAAGATGTAGCAGTCTGCTCCGTAAAGATTAAAAATACCGAAAACCCATTGCCCTCGAGTGATTCCAACTGATAGTGACCCTATAGGACAGAGTAGAACTGCCCCATAGGGTTTCCAAAGAGCAGCCGGTGGATTTGATCTACTGACCTTTTTGTTAGCAGCCAAGCTGTTAACCACTACGCCATCAGGGCTACCTGTAAAGATTACAGTCTTGGAAACCCTATGAGGCAGTTCTCCTCTGTCCTATAGGGTCGCTGTGGGTTTGGTTTGGTTTTGGTATCCTTGTGATTTGTTTGCTTGCTTGCTTATTTGTTTGGGTAGTGGTAGGGTTTTTCCTAGTCTTATCAACATTGCTGTAATATATTCTCTATTACTCTTCTCTACTGGAGCTTTCACAATACAGACATTTTAATAAAAATGAAACTTTTGCTGCCATGATTTCTACAGATTTATAAACAACTGTTTTATCTCATTTAAGTCCCATGGCAAGCCTGTTAATGATGAGGAGACCAAGGCTTAGATGGAGCCAAGGTTTTGGGAACATGTGAGGCTTGCGGTATGATAACACATTGTTTGTGGCAAGATGGCTCCAAGCTACTCTGGGTCTTTACCTCTTTAAATATGTAACAAGGCCACCTCTTTTGTGCAGAAACAAATTAAATTCCCTTAGAAAGTATAAGTGAGCATCATTTTTTCATTCAACAGATATTTATTGAGCACCTACTGTGTACACTGGTGGCATCTAAATTAGATCATGAGCTCTCTGGTAATAAGACCAGTGTTCCAGTTATCGTTGAATTCCCAAGGTCGGTAAAGGGCTCAGGACAGAACAAGTGGTTAAATGTTTATGGAAAGAAAATCATGGAGAGAAAACATTTGGCCCCCCGTCTGAGCTTTCTGGCATCCACTCCCCTCCAGGCTAAGAGCCCCAAAATGCGATACATGATGTATGGGCTCCTGCCCCCCAGTGTATACTACAGCTATGAGTCTAGACTTCTTATCAGGTTCCCTGATTGGCCCTGTATCCCCCAATATGTGCATGTTATTGGATGCAGGTTTAAATAAGAGGCCTCAAAGCTAGTACTTAAGGACCGCTTCAGGCCAGACTGCCCATGTTGCAGTCCTGCCTCTGCCTTTTAATGGACTCGTAATGATGGGCAAGTTATTTAGTCCCTGTGCCTCAGTTTGCTCATCTGTCAAATGTGGATAATCGTAGTACTAATCTATTGCATTGTTGGGAGGATTAATGAGTTGCTAGCATGTAAAGGACATTGGTCCTGGCACATGTAGATGTTAGCATTCGATATAGATATTCTACTGAAGTAATAAAGTTTATAAATTGTAAAGCATACCCAATGTAGAAATTTAAAAAGAATGGCATAGAAATAGAAAGCCTACTATTTTATCCCACACCCAAAGGTTTGTGGATACCACTGGCCTGGGGCACCACAGCCCTGGGAAAGCCAAATAAATTATTGGTCCACCTTCCCTGTACTCCCCTCTCTGCCTATCACACACCTAACCCCTGGGATTTACCAGATTCAAGATCCCTACATCGCTGTATTTTTGTACCCAGGTTATTCTGTTGTGTCTTGGCTCCCTTCATTTGAAAATTTGAATTCTAGCCCTCTTCTTTTGAAAATAAGAAAGAGGCCAAGGTTCTTGTGATTGAATAGGGTCAGGTCCTGGATGAAGGCAGTGGGAGGCTGTTGTGCTGGGGTGGGAGAAGGGAAGGCAGGAGAGCTGTGTGGAGGTAACTGAGCCTGAGTTCTCACCACCTACAGGAAGCTCTCCTGGCGTGGCTGCCTCGCCAGCCAGAGCCTTCCAGGAGGACAGCCCCTCGCAAATGCTGGGAATACTCCAGGGCCCGCAGTGCTTGGGGTTCCCGACTGCCCTGGCAGTTGTCTGGAGTGTTCTTTCTGGTCCCTGGGCAGTCAAGGTAGCAAGACATTGGGGTGAGGAGGGCGTACGTATAAAGCCATGGGAACAAAGGAGGGATCTAGGTTACACCTGCATCCGGACCTGGCCCCAGATTCTGTTACTTCCTTTTTAATAAATCATCTTGCGGCTCTGAAGGGAACTTGTCCTTAAAGTTTTTGCAGTAAGAATATAATCTAAAGACCTACCTCCTTAATCATCATTCTAACCATAGTTAACTGAGCATTTATCTGCGTTAGGCACTGTGCCAGATGCCTTACCCATGTTTATAACTTCTTCAACACTGCCAACCACCTCAGGAAAGAAGGTATGACTGTGAGCACCATTTTACAAGTGAGATGACACAACCTGGATTCAAACCCAGGTCCTGCCCATGCACTCCGTGCTCTTCACATTAGACTACATGGCCTCCTTTCCAAGCCTGCCTGCGTCTTGGAGCTGTTGAGAACAAAGTAAACCTGAGGTCATATTTATGAAAGAACTTTGTGAGGCCTAATGCCATATAAATAAGATGTTATTGCAACATCATATAGTCCAGTCTGCAGTAAGAAGAGCTAGTAGTATCGAGCATTAACTATACACCAGAGGCTTTACATGCATGCTCTTGTGTAGTTCTCACAGCCACCTGCAAGGTAGGTCATTTTACATGTAACCAGGAAACGGAGTCAGGAAGGTTAAGTACCTTGCAGAGATGCATAGCATTCCACCAGTGCATAGCTCATAGACGGTGGAATGGGACTTGTACTCAAGTCTGCTCACCTCCAGAGCTCTGGCCTTAACCTCTCCCGTATGCTACCACTTCCCTGAAGTTTGAGGGACCTCAGAGACCTACTAGAGACGAGGCGCTAAGGTAAAAGGATTTTCCCTAAATCATAAAACTAGCTGGTAGTAGACCCTCCTGGTTGGTTTAGTTTCGTGTATTTTACAAAACAAAAAACCATGCCATCTACTAAATACTAGTTTGTGGTGGAAGAGCTTATGTAAATGTATTCACCCAGCAAACACTGATGGATACCTCCTGCTGGCCAGGCCGTGTGGGAGGTGCTGTGGCCACAGAGGAAACAAGCCTGGCCATGGTCTCTGTCCTGCCAGCTGCACAGTCTATGAGAGATGCAGACTCATACACAGGCAGGCACAGCACAGGTTTGAGGGCGTCGGGTGAGAGGGCTTGGGTGATGCGGGAACACATGGGGGGTACCCAGCTTATCTTGGGGAGCAACAGGTAGGGGTTCCGGGAAAGGAGAGAGGAGCAGCTTTGCAGAACACGATGTTAAGGGCAAAGAGGCCACTGAACACGAGGAGCTGAAACGTTCAGCGGGTTACACTGGTATGTCAGGACAGGGTGAGGACTGTTGAGGGGTTTGGGTCTTAGAGCAGATGTGCCTTCTAGAATGAGCACAAGCAAAGGTGGATGGACCGGAGACCAAGGAGGCTGGTAGGGAGCTGTTCACAGGGTGTCAAGTAAGAGATGATAGTGGCATGAAGCACAGCGCATTTCCTGTGAGTTGGGGGTCATTGCCCCAATTTATCTTCCTAGTGGTGTCAGCTGTGGGATGCAGTTCAGACAGAGTATTGACAAGAAGGGACTTTCAATTGTAGCCATTGCTTCCACTCTCTGAGATTAACTAAAAATCCTACAGATCACCAGAACAAACCCTCATTCTCTCTACTTTAGGACTTTCATGAAAGCAGTTTGTTGAAACATTTTATTTCAGTATCTATATAAGAAGCAATTGTTTTCTCTCAGCAGCTGCATCATTTCTACTTGACAGTGAGCTGATGACCCAGTGAGCACACCACGTATACTAACACCGTGTATGTGATTTCAAATATCTCTGCCCAGTAGGGCTGGGTGAAAACTAAGGCAGATTGGTGAGGGAGATGGCTGTTAGAACTGTGCTTTGCATGCAGATTATCTTTGCTCCCTCCCTCACTCCCTTTTTGGCTGACACAGATGCCCCATAAGGTACCCACATGGCTAAGTTCTATGTGTACAGCACCCTTCACCCCATCAGACTGCGGGGCAGGGGTGGGGGTGTTTGGCACATGTTCTGTACTTGATCCAAGAGGGAGAGTCCCATGAGAGTTGTCATGGATCGTATACCACCAAGTGGACTTCACATGTAATATCTTCAACTCATCAGGGAAGATCGCTGGCTGCTGCAATCTTGGCCATGCCCAAGAAAGAAACTGGGCAAAAGTCAAGAGTTGTTATTTTAACTTAGAAAGAAATGGCATCTCCTCAGCTCTGGGAGTAGGGCGGTGGGGGGCAATGGTGGGTCAGTGGTAGAATTCTTCCCTTCAGTGTGGGACACCCGGGTTTGATTCCCAGCCAATGCACTTCATACACAGGTACCACCCTTCTGTCACTGGAGACTTGTGTGTTGCTATGATGATGAACAGATTTGAGCGGAGCTTCCCGGACTAAGACAGACTAGGAAGAAGGGCCTGGAAATCTACTTCCAAAAGTCAGCCAGTAAAAACCCTATGGATCACAACAATCAAATCCACAACCAATCATGGAGATAGCACAGGACTGGCAGCATTTTGTTCCATTGTGCATGGGGTCACCATGAGTCGGGGCCAACTTGACAGCAACTAACAACAACAACTCACCTCTGGAGCCCCAGAAAGATGGACAGGGTCTCAGGGAGTCCCACTCTGGGAACGGTAGGACTTCAGTATTTGCATGGGTGGATTAACTCTTAGTCCATTTGAAAATTAACTGAAACAACAGTTTTGCAGAGTGTCACATATTCCATGAAAACTGGTATCTAGAGATACAAGAATTGTTCCCACTATATGACCTCTAGTATACCCAATGTAGGTTCCTTTTCACCCTCCAACACCCTTATTAGCACAGTCTTCTCACCACTAAATGTCGGGCTTTTGTTTTCCACCTCTTTTTTTCTACAAATACGTTTAGGGTGAAGAAGCTGAAGGAGACCTTTGCATTTATTCAGCAGTTAGACAAAAACATGAGCAACCTTCGCACCTGGTTGGCTCGGATTGAGTCTGAGCTTTCTAAGCCTGTTGTTTATGACGTCTGTGATGATCAAGAAATCCAGAAGAGGCTTGCTGAACAGCAGGTGGGAAATCAGAAACGAGCAGTCATGAGAGTAGAAGTGTCTACGGCATCTGCTCACACGAACCTTCCCCTTTCCTGGCTGTGTGTTTTAGCATGTTCGCATCTCATAATACTGCTTTGCCTTTTCCGGAGGAGACTGATCACTTACCCATGTTCTTGTATGTGTGAGGCATACATCTCTGGGTACCCCACCACTGCTCACAATGCAGACCTTAATCTTGATGGTAAATAAGGTTGTATTGTTTTGCTTTTTTAACCTTCATCTTTTTTATATTTTGTTAATATAGTTTTGGAAGGTGATAAATTGGGGAAAAATCCTTTTTCTCACCAAGAGGAGCCCTGGTGGCAAGTAGTTAAAGTGCTGAACTCACCAGCCGCTCCATGGGAGAAAGATGTGGCAGTCTGCTTCTGTAAAGATTTCAGCCTTAGAACTCTACGGGGCAGTTCTACTCTGTCCTAGAGCATCACTGTGTCGGAATTGACTTGACTGATGACAGTGGGTCTGGTTTTAGTTTTCTCCAAAAAAACAAACCAAGGAAGGCCTTCATGGGCCTGTATTCTGTGTGTCTATTAAAGCTTCAAAAAAAAAATTAAATCACCAAAATGTGTAGTAAAGAACACACTCAGACCGATAACTTAGGTAGCCTTTCCTACAATGCTCTGTACATTTGTCGTCACTTACACACCCTTCGAGCCAATACTGGAATTTCCAGTTTGGAAATCATTGAGTTCCGCCAATGTTCGTCATTGCACTAACCTGGCAGGTGCTGTGGTAAAACTAGGTTATCAGATCCACTTTCCTGCCCTCCATGTTCTCATGCTCACGTGCCTTATTCTGATCTGCAGTGCCCAAGTTTGTCTTTTTAAAAAGTAAGTTTATCTTAATCCTTCAGCAACTTTCCTTCACCTCTATTTTTCTCAGATCTGTGGGCAGATTCTGTTTTGACCATATAAGCGATATGTTGTCATCAGGTTCTCAGACACATATCTTTTCTTCACATTAAACCTGTACCACCACATTCATCTGCATCAAAGCATTAGTGTTTCCCATTTGTCAGCGACTTGGGAGAATTCACCCAGACATCACAGCTGCTTAGAGACAGAACTGGGGACAGAACCTTTGTCACCAAATTTGCTGCCAGAGGCTACCCCTTAATCATAAATTCTCTTGAGTTCAGGTCATTCTTTTTAATGGTATTAAGTGACCCTTCATGGTACCATACAATATTGTTAAGTATTTGATACTGCTCTTAATAGGTCTGTTTTCAGATCTATACTATTACAATTACTGTTTCAATGCTACCTATTCTCTGGTTTTGAAACTAGTATGATTTAGTAATGCTACTAATTAAATATACTGATTTTTCTGTCTAGTCTTAGAAATTTAAATGTGTCTTTTACTGAGGTAATCTAAATTTTGTCTCTGCTTTGTGAAGAAATGCATATTGCTGTAAGTATCATGGAATTTTAATGCACATTGTAGGCATTGCAATGCCCATCTCAGTGAAGTTATGGCTTTATTTAACAAGTTTGATCCTGTAGGGTGAATTTCAATTTCTTGAGCCAGCCCTTAATAGACAAAATCTTGCAAACAACCATTTACCCTGAATGGTGAGTTTTTTCAGGTCAAGACAATGGAAGCTGACAATATTTTTCCTCTTAAAGAGTGGTTGGCTAAATTTGGCAGGGACTAATAATGGTTTGTTACTTTTGTCAACATGAAGTATGATAAAATACCATTAAAGTTCAGGAAATTTATTCCCAAAAGCATACAATTTGGAGCAACTACCATCCTTTTGACCTTGTCCGTGCTGAAATGATACATAATTTCAGTCTGGCTAAGTTGGAGGTTCCCTCTTCATAGAATTCAGAACCGCCATCATGGAATTCACATCCCTTGGTTACCAAAAAAAAAAAAAACAGTATGGACTTGATGTTTAGTACTACCATTGCTGTAAAGAAGTTAGATGTTGTGTTCATTTTCTGTTGCTGTTGTAACAAATTACCACAAATTTAGCAGCTAAAACAACACAAATGTATTATCTTATGGTTCTGGAAGTTGGAAGTCTGACATGGGTCTCGCTGGCTAAAATCAGGATGTCAACAGAGCTGCATTCCTTTTTAGAGGCTGTAGGGGAGAATCTATTTCCTTGCCTTTTCTAGTTTGTAGAGTCAGCCCACATTCCTTGGCTTGTGTCCTCTTTCACCATCTTCAAGTCCAGCAACGGTATATCTCCCTATACCTTTCTTCTGCAGTCAACATCTTCCTCTGACTGACTTTTCTTCTGCATCCCTCTTCCACTTTTAAGGACCCCTGTGATTACATTACGGAGCCTGGTGGCACAGTAGTTAAGGGCTTGGCTGCTAACCACAAGATTGGTGGTTCGAACCCACCAGCCACTTCACAGGATAAAGATGTGGCAGTCTGCTTCTGTAAAAGATTACAGCCTTGGAAATGGGAAACTCTATCGAGCAGTTCTTCTCTGTCCTGTAGCATGGCCATGAGTTAGAATCAACTTAATGGCAACAGGTTTTTGGTTAGTGATTACACTGGGTCTGCCTGGATAATCCAGGATAATCTCCCTATTTTAAGGTTAGCTGATTACTCATACTATCACCCTTTTCCATCGAGTTGATTCCAACTCATAGGAAACTTAATTCCCCTTTGCCATGTAAAGTAACATATCCATAGGTTCCAAGGATTAGGATGTGGACATTTTTAGAGAACTATTATTCTGCCTACCCTAGATGACCTGAGGAAACTTTTAGTACTTTTGTTAAAAGGAATAAATTACAGTGTGTTTATTATACAAAACCCAGGTATTAACTATTCCATCCCAAATGCTGAAAACAGAAATGTCACACAAAAGAAGAGTTATCTGTCGGTCATTTACAAAAAAAACAAAAACAAAAAACTTTACCTATCCCTAATCTAAATATACTATTTTTTTTTTATGCTTTAAATGAATGTTTACAGTTCAAGTTAGTTTCTCATACAAAAATTTATACACACATTGTTATGTGACCCCAGTTGCTCTCCCTATAATGTGACAGCACACTCCTCCTTCCCACCTCGGATTTCCCAAGTCCATTTAACCAGCTCCTGTCCCTTTTTATCTTCTCATTAAATATGCTAAATTATATTTGATTGCTAACAAAAATAAGGCCTGAAAGCTTAGGATCACGTAGTACTACCTTCTGCAGTAGAATTCAGCCCCCAGATGTGCTTAATAGCCATAATGTCCCTGGATCCTCATTGGCTTGTCCGTGAGGGCCCAGTAGGGGAGGGATTAGGCTAAGGAACAACCTTATAAGAGTCGTTTTTGTTTCTCTTACTTTTATGTAGCCCTCTTTTTTTTTTTTTAAGTAATAAAGTTATATTTTTATTCATATGGAATGTATTGTTTTCAAAACTCAGAAAGTGGTATCAACCTTTGTGACACTTAAATTATGAACCGTGTTCATTCAGTCTTCAGCATCTCTCTTCTAGTTTTCATTGGGTTCCTAGTTCCCTGTGGAATGCCACAAGGTGGCTTAGGGGTGTTGTTAGTTATACCCCCTCCATTCCATTCTGTAATTACCAACAGCCCCCTCTCCAGTAGGCCACCTCAGCTTCATTCCAAACCCTTTGAATCCCCCCTCAGTACCAACCCAACCCCCTATCCCACCAATCCAACTTGCTTGCCATCCCATCTGCTTCCCATGGAGATGCTGTGGAGCCACCAGTGGTGGTTCTGTTTGTGTGATTTCCTGCCCTCTTAGTCTGATTTTCTCCTTTTCCCCATTTATCTTATTTTTCTTGTTCCTTTTTATTCTCATTCTTCTTGCTTCATTCTCTTCTCCAGTTTCATGTCTCCCCCATCGCCTCTCGCTGCCACTCCCTTCCTCCTTAGCTGTTTCCCAGCTTCAGCGCTCTTGCTCTGCTTCCCCTGCTCAGGGGCAGAAAAACAAAGCAAGGGCTGTTTCTGGGACCCTTGGCGAAAGCCTTTTACATTGCTTGCATTGATCTGTTGTTTCTTAAATCTCGTTCTTCTGTGGATTTGAACAATTATTCTGTGAAAACTAATTATTATGCAAACTCATGTCTTAACAGGTTCTAGTGGTGGTATGTTAGTTTGCACAGTGTTATTTGTCTAGCTCGTAAATGTTTTACTTTTTAAAATATGATCTCTAACTTTATATTTTGCAAGGTAAGTAGTTCATATTAAACATCAGTAAGACATTCTACTCTGTGGTGTTTTAGAAACACATTTTGGAAATATTTGAAAATGTTTGAACTTTCTTTTAACCAAGATGATGATGTTGGTCTTTTAGAAGGTACTGTAGAACTCATTTTTTGACTGCCATTCATCCCTTTTCTTTCGCCATTTTAGTCAATGTAAGCTGAATAAATAATGTAGAGTAACTGCAAAGAGTCTGTTAAAATGCGTGACATCCAGGCATATCCATAGGCTAGAATTGCTCAGTGCTTTTCAACCAGGTTCTTCCCACCTGGACCCAGACGAGGCCATGGGCAGGCGCCATTTTTCCGTTACAGTGGTCAGTGTTACTCACTGAGCGCCAGTGCTAGGACTCCTTGTTTATTATTTTAATAAACTTATTAATACCAGTAAATTTTAGAAAAGCCTGTGACCATTCTGTGAACCTGTAAGAATTCTTTTTAAACCCGAATTTCAAAGCTAGTCATCTATTGTCTCCAGGAAAACTTCTACCATTGCAGCATCTCAAGCATGCATCCTGAACTGTAGAGCTTGAAAAAACCACCGGGTCACAGCTCTCTTCACAGGTACATGGTGACAAACTGGAAAATACATTGTCTCCTGAGTATAACTGTGTGGCCCTCACTTCTCGTCAGTTAGGATCTGATCTGTGTTAAGAACTGCCTGATTTAAAATTCAGATCAAGCATTAGCATTTCATCCTCTTATATCCACCTGAACACAAAATGATCCAGATCACACATTTTATCAGAAGAAAAGTAAGAAAATGTTAGTCCTTTCTAGTAACACAACAGTTATCTCCAAAATCATTTATATATCTAGGTGGCCTGAAAGAAACTGTATGCTGCCTTTCTGTAGACTATGGCCAAAACAACAAACCAAACCCACTGCCATCGAGTCAATTCCAACTCACAGCAACCCTATAAGACACAGTAGAACTGTCCCATAGGGTTTCCAGGAAGCAGCTGGTGGATTCAAAGTGCCGACCTTTTGGTTAGCAGCCAAGTTCTTAACCACTGTGCCCCCAGGGCTCCAGGTACTGTATAAAATAATCCTTCCTGTAAATTGAATTTTGTTGAATCCAGAGAACTTTATTGAGTATAAGTAATAGTGGCTTATTTTAAGTATTGCAGATTTTCAAAAATTGCTATATTATCAAAAATTAAAATAGAATTTTAAGTTTACCTTTGCTATTTCAGTGTCGTGTAGGTACTAAGGTTAAAAGTGTGGTCTGAGGTCACTTATCACAGAATTTGGGTATCAGAGAAAGACTAATTCATCCAGAATGGCAATGTGGACTTCTCATCTCCCCTTCCCCTCACCCATGGTGTGTTGAAGAAATATTCTTTGGGTGATAACTGAACACACCTTGTTTAGTCTTAAACATGTTTTCCAGTTTTCCTCGGATCACATGTTTTCTCTTCATGAACATGATTTTTCCAAGATCGGGAAACTGCATCACTGTCACCATCATAGGATAAGACTCTAGAGACCCACCCACCCCCGAGCCACAGCCTTGGCTGGGCCCCTTCATTTGACCCCCAAGGATGGGCTCATGGGGAGACTGTGGACACGTGTGCAACTGAATGCATGATCTGCTGTATGTGTGAAGACAAAATAAAGCTCTTAGATTCAAGAGTTCTGTGACCTATAAAAGGTCAAGAGCCTCTGTTGTTAAAGTTTAGGTCCTGCTGAAGAGACTTCAATTGATTTTCCACAGAAGACCTTCCTGAAACCAAGTCTAACTTGGAGGATCTGGGGCCAGGGGCTATGGAGTAGATCTCATGCATGCCCAAAGTTTGGGGGGCTGTAAGCTCTCAAGGGGTCATTAATGCCACCCGTCAGTGCATAGAGGATACCCACTGCCATTCCCTCCTCCCCCGCAACACACACACAGTGCAACAGAGCCCAGTTGTTACCGGTTTGGGGGCTTTTGTCTCAGCTACTACAGCACAAGAGTTGTGCAAAGATAAGAGGGACTTGGTCTGTGCCGCTAGTTCCAAGATGGAAATGCACCAAGTACTGTACCCCATGGGCTGGAGGGCAGGAGGGAGAGGGATGACAAAAGTGGGGACCTTTGATGCCAACTCTCCCACCACCACCTCACAGTTTATCTTAACTCTATTGTAATCTCAGGACCTGCAGCGAGATATTGAACAACACAGTGCGGGAGTGGAGTCAGTGTTTAACATCTGTGATGTCCTGTTGCACGACTCTGATGCCTGTGCAAACGAGACCGAGTGTGATTCAATACAGCAGACCACGAGGAGCCTAGACAGACGCTGGAGGAACATTTGTGCCATGTCAATGGAGCGGCGAATGAAGTAAGAACCCAGATGCCCCTGAACGTCTTAAGTATGTTCAGCAAGATTTCCCTGCTGAACTAAATAAAAGTAGCTGTGTTCTGTTCACTTCATTTGGAAATGGGCCAGGTATTGGCAGAGAGGCTCAGTAGGTGTGGCCAGGGCTTGTTAAACGAATAATTCAAGAAAAATATAATCAGGGTAATAATGTCTTTGTGTCTCAGGGTATAACTGTGGGCTGGCGACTTTACCTTTGTTTACCCAGCTATAAAGTAATTGTCTCCTGAAGCAGGAGCTCTGAGAGTACTCGAGAAACGTATACTGACCAAGAAGCAATGTCCCTGGTTATTTCCTGGAAGGGGTATCAGGATCTCTCCCCCTGAACAGTGCACATGCCAGTGGGGGATGGGGATGGGACCCATCAAGGGACAGAGGGAAGATCAAAACCACATGGTTGAAATGCATGGTGTATATTAAGTTGCTTTCCTTCCTTCAGAATTGAAGAGACGTGGCGCCTGTGGCAGAAGTTTTTAGATGATTATTCCCGCTTTGAGGACTGGCTTAAGTCAGCAGAGAGGACGGCAGCCTACCCAAATTCCTCAGAGGTGTTGTACACAAATGCCAAAGAAGAGCTGAAGAGGTTTGAGGTAAAAACCTTCTCCGCCCAGTGCTCTTGCTAACTCTTTGCAGCAGTGCAAAGGCTCAGGAGCTATAAATGACTCCTGCTGACTGGCTAGCTTCCACCACCGCTGCCGTCGGCTGCGTGCTACGCAACCAGCCATCAGCTGCTATGCAATGAACTTGAAGGCCGGTTCTTTTTTTTTAGTTTATCTTTTCTTTTTATTTTTTATTGTGGTAAAATATATATAACAGAACATTTGCCAATTCAACAATTTTTACATGTCTAATTTGGTGACATTGATAATGTTTATCATGTTGTGCAACCATCACCACTGTCCTTTTCTAAATGATTCCATCACCGTTAGCATAAACCCAGTACACCTAAGTGCTGACTTCCCCTTCCTCCCCGCTCCTGCCACTGGTAATCACTAATAAGCTTTGGTTTCTATACATTTGCCTATTTCATGTAAGTGAGATCATACAGTATTTATCCCTTTGTGACTGACTTATTTTACTGAGCGCATTTTCAACGTTCACTCATGTTGTAGCCTGTATCTGTATCAGGATTTTATCTCTTTATAGAGAGCCTGTTCTTCTAACTAGCCTCAGACGATCTGGTGAAGTAAGCTCTTTGTTGCCATTTCAGTTTGGGGCTTAACCACTCGAGGCAGGTCATTCGGGGTCAGGAGGGGGTGTCTGGCCCTCTCTTCTTGCTCTGGCATTCCCCCTATTGTATTCTGGGAGCCTAGCAGAGTATAGTGCCTGGCACGTACTAGCACGCACGTTTTGGAGAATGAATGGATGTCTGGTGGAAGGGAAGTGTCAAGGATGGGCACTAATACTGGTAGGTTGATAGGGAGATAGGTTAGGGGTTCAAGGGATTGAGAGAGTTCCCACGTATTGGACACTTATTTTCATCCTGGAGTAGAAGATGAGGTGATTTGATTTGCTGAGAGAAGAAGTAGGAGGAGGTGGCCCAAGAAAGTAGCGAGGGTTTGAGATAGGTGCTGTGAGAGATCGGGAACAGCTGACCGGGGACCTGTTCCCTCTGTGCCACAGGCCTTTCAGCGGCAGATCCATGAGCGGCTCACCCAGCTGGAGCTCATCAACAAGCAGTACCGGCGGCTGGCCCGCGAGAACCGCACAGACACGGCCAGCAAACTGAAGCAGATGGTCCACGAGGGCAACCAGCGCTGGGACAACCTGCAGAAACGGGTCACGGCCGTGCTGCGGAGACTCAGAGTGAGCTCCTCCCCACCACCTGGGCTGACTGTAGATGTTCAGAGGGAAGTGATATGTGATACCAAGGCTGTACACAAAGCAGTGGGTAGAAGATTTCATTCAAGGCCTACTGTTGCTGTTGTTAGGTGCCATCGAGTTTGTTCCAACTCATAGCGACCCCATGCACAACAGAACAAAACACTGCCTGGTCCTGCACCATCCTCACAATCATCGCTATGCTTGAGCCCACTGTTGCAGCCTCTATGTGAGTCCATCTCATTGAGGGTCTTCCTCTTTTTTGCTGACCCTCTACTTTACCAAGCATGATGTCGTTTTCCAGGGACTGGTCCCTCCTGATACCATGTCCAGTGTGAGACGTAAGGCCTAAGCTATCTTGATATTTTCTCAAGATAGCCTTCCCTTTTGTTTAAGCCCAGAGCTGCCTGCATTAATTTTTTCTAAATAAGTATTTGCGTTTGGGGCTTTTTAGGCAGAGCCTATTTCTGGGATTTGTTTATCAAAACAAATCCCTGTTTAAAGCTTCTGGAACCCCTGGTAGTGTGCACATTAGCACACAGACTGCTCACAGACTCTGGGGAGCTGTCTTCCTGGTCTGGAGAAGGTGCCTTTTGAGCCTTCAGAAAGAGTCTTGCTTGCTTCACCCATCTGTTTTTGTATGTCCCGTTGCCTCTTGCATTGTGAGGAAGGTGGACAAAGCGCATACAGCCCCCTCTGTATTGTAGCGACTGGGGACAGTGATTACCCTCTGAACTTCAGAGCACACTTGACTAACCTCAAAGGTTGGGTTTGGTTTCTGAATGTAAATATTCACCTTAGCCTTCTGTAATTCAGAAGACGCGGTATGCCAACCTTTTGTAGTCCAGGTATAAACTGACAGGACCAGTGCGGTTAGGAGCTGCAGGAATTTATTTTAATCCCTGCCTCTGTTCTCAGCACAGAATGTTCTTAAAGCTGAGACAGGAAGATGAGAACCTGGGTTTTTTATTATTTTTTTTAACCCTCTCAGGAACAAATTGCCTAGCTTTTCTAATAATCCAGACAACCCCCTTGCCTTAATTTCTTTATTCTCCTGCTTGACTGTTGCCATCCTAAACCCTCCCTTGGCACAGAATGTTGCATTTGTCTAAGAATCACTGCCCATCTATGAGGTGGTAACATGAGAGGCATCTTAAGTGGAGGTGATCAACCTTCTCCTGGGGTCTTCCTTCTCTGAGGAAACACACCCAGAATTACATCAGTGGAGGCAAGTGTGGCACTAGGCCAAGCTCAACCCTGAAGTCAGTGTTTTTCCATCTTGAAGCTACTATATCCTTCTGTCCAGCAAAAGCTTCTGCAAAAGACTAATGTGTAAAAACAGACAAAGGTGCCTGGCTTGAACCCTGAAGGAGTCCTCAAAGGAGAGATTCAAAAACTAGTACTGTGCTCCAGTATTTAAACAAACAAAAAATCATCTATATGAGACCAAACAGTCAACATTTACCCTAAAGCAAAGATGAGAAGGCAAGGGGGGAGGGGCAGGGAAGCTAGATTAATGGAAACAGAACAACCAGAATGGAAATAACAAGAATGCTGACACAATGTGGAAAATGTAAGCAATGTCACTGAATGATATGTATTTAAATTGCTAAATGGGAACCAATTTGCTGTGTAAACTTTCACCGAAAGCATGATAAAAATTTTTTTTAATGTTTTATTCCTTAAAAAAAAAAAAAAAATCACTGATTTAGACTAGAGAATTACAGTATTTCTGATGCCATACATACCTTAGAGATCATCTAGTCACTCTCCCTCTGTTGCTGGTAAAGAAGCTGAGGCTCAGAGAATTTAAGGGGCTTGTTCAGTAGCACTCAGTCAGGATCAGAACCCAGGTGCCTGATCCTGCTCTGACCCCTGGATGCAGCATTTTGCAGGTGTCCGCAGACAGGTTTCTCTCCCAGTATTCTGGGCACCCTCTCCTTTCAGCCTTGAGTGACCTTGCTGTCTACCTGAACTCTCATTCCACAGTTAAAACATACGTGTGATTTCTTTTTCTGTCCCTTTCACAGCATTTCACCAACCAGAGGGAGGAATTTGAGGGGACCCGGGAGAGCATTCTGGTGTGGCTTACCGAGATGGACCTGCAGCTGACCAACGTGGAGCACTTCTCTGAGAGCGATGCTGATGACAAGATGCGCCAGCTGAACGTAAGGGCTGCTACCTCGACTCCTCTCCTTTGCAGAGGAGAACTGGCGACGTACAAATTTCACCTGATACCCCGAGAGCGCATTCCAGGATTGTTAAACCAGCCAGGCTGTGTCCCAACTGTGTACTGCTGGGTTCTCATGAGCAAGGATACAGTTCCTCATGGTCAAGAAATCATTGTCACGAGTTCCCTTTTTCTGTTTGTCATTTATAATCAACCAGCCGGAGAATGCACTCTAGGCTCCAAAGAGAACTTTATAAGATGCTGTTTCTCTGACACTTGGGTGTAACAGGAGGAAAATCTGTATCAACAGTGGGGCCAAGAACAGATATCTTCTGCACTCCCATTGTGACAAATATCCATATTACAGTGAAAACCAGTAATCAGTTTCTGTTGAGTCAGCTCTGACTCCTGGCGACCCCATGTGTGTCAGAGTAGAACTGTGCTCCATAGGGTTTTCAATGGCTGATTTTTCAGAAGTAGATTGCCAGGCGTTTCTTTGGAGGTGCCTCTGGGTAGACTCGAACCTCCAACCTTTTGGTTAGCAGCCGAGCATATTAACCATTTGCACCACCCAGGAACCATAATCTCACTATAATTCTCTCCTTGGTCAGATTTTAGAAGAAGCTGAGAAATGGAAATCTTCCTTTCCAGAACAGTAGTATATATGGCACCGATGAATGTTACATTGCGTCTGCAGAAGTGAATGCCCATTGGTGGCTTATCATAGGAAATTTTCTGTTTCCACCAATCATTGATAAGACACAGTCTCTTCCTCAAACCCAGTAACTATAAATGTCCATCTTCATTAAGCTTTAAGAAATATTTTAAATGGAAAAGCCAATGCCCAGACTGAAGAGGAAAAAATATGCGTACAAATGTTTTAAATTGTTAAATTTTCATTGTCATTTAGTTAAAAATTGATAAAGCTGGAGTACTAGGTAAAGGAACAAAGCAATAATGGCATTTTGATGCTTATGCACCACAGGGGGCATAAGAAACAAACTATTGCCCCCTTTCCCGGGGAAATTTCTTTTTTTGGAGACTTTTCTTTTTCATATTTTAAATAGGGTTTCCAACAGGAAATTACATTAAATACCAACAAGATCGACCAGCTGATAGTTTTTGGGGAGCAGCTAATTCAAAAGAGCGAGCCCCTAGATGCTGTGCTAATTGAAGATGAGTTGGAGGAGCTGCACCGGTACTGTCAGGAGGTGTTCGGCAGGGTCTCCCGATTCCACCAGCGGCTGACCTCCCACGCTCCGGTAAGGGGGATGCCGCCCACTGGGGGCTTTTGAGCTGCTCAGTGTTTATATTTGACTGAGTTTTTAAAGCTTTGGGAAAACTTATCTGGTGATGGCTGACTATGATTTATTTTATGTTAGAAAACCTATACTGAAAATTTTTACGTCCACTCTTTTGAATATAGAGCCACAGGTATCCCCACCGCAATTACGTACAAGTTCCCATTACCCAGTGGCAAGGATGACACTTCTAAAAGTTCTTGGCTTCTGTTACCTGTGTTCAATGTACTCTTCAGGACAGGGTTTTTCTGGCATGCGTCAGCACCCCTCGATCAGCTGGTAACTGTTCTAGTTTTGCTTAACTTGGGCATGTGTTTGCCTTTTCCTATATCTCAGTGTCTGGGCATGTTTAATATGCGTGCCTTTCTGGTACTTTGTTCTCACCTTTGAAATGCCAGAAGCACTGCTTTTGAAAGCAACTCTGATCTTTCCCTTGATGAAGGGACTTTTTGGGAAGTTCAGGTGGAGTTAAGGACACTATTCAAAGTTCACTGCCTTTGTGTGCCAAAAGCTTTATTTAATGATGACCATTGACCAAAAGCACTGGCAACATTTTCTTTTGGGTGTGTGTGTGTGTCCGTGTCCCCAGCTGGTCAGCTTCAAATGTAGTTATTTCTTCATCAGAAAGAGCCTCAGAAATTACCCTCTAATTCACTCATTTTTAAATGTAGCTGTTTACAGAGGCATTACAGCACAGGGTGAATACAGGCACTGAACAATAAGATCGGGGGGTATGAAAGAACTGGGTACATGTGGTCCTTGAAGGTGTGAATCTTATCCAGAACACTCTAATGTCCTTTTTGTGTGTGTTTTCTGATTCTTGGTTCCTACCATTCACCATCTATGGAACTTTGGCCTCCATTCTCTTATCTTCTAGATCAACTCTTTCAACTTAGATTATCAAATTTCAGGTTTTTTCCTAGGGGAAAAATATGAAGCTTTTGGAAAATACAGATTCTAGGCCCCACTCCAGAGCATCTAAATTGGAAGGGCCATTTCCAAATTGGAATGGGACCAGGAGTCTGATTTTTTTTTTAAATCTGCCTTCGAAATGCTGATGGCAGCTATTTTCAGCAACTGCTGGGCGGACCGAATTCTAAAGTTCCTTGAAACTGTAATAGCCTGTGATTTGGTTATTTTTAAAATTGGGTATTTCCATTTAGGGCTTGGAAGATGAAAAGGAGGCCTCTGAGAATGAAACAGACATGGAAGACTCCAGAGAGATCCCAAGTGACTCTTGGCGTACAAGGGGTGAGAGCGAGGAGGTCTCGTCTCCTCAGTCCCTTTGCCATCTAGTGCCCCTGGCACCGGGACACGAGCGATCTGGCTGTGAGACCCCTGTCAGCGTGGACTCCATCCCTCTGGAGTGGGATCACACAGGTGATGTGGGGGGCTCCTCCTCTCACGAAGAAGACGAGGAGGGCCCATACTACAGTGCACTGTCAGGTAATAGCCTTGACATTGACTCGTTTGGCTATATTTTTAGCCCCTTAGCAGCTCAGCCAACTCTCAGTGATCAAGAGTCCACTCACCAGCTTGTGGCTGATCCAGGCTTTCTGTGGCTTCATATGTTCTGTCCTGCCTGCTGGGCTGTTGAGAGTTGGCTCCCTCCTATGACAGGCAGAATAAAAGGAGAAAATAAATGAAATTCACATTCAGACATTACGGCTATCACTGATGGCTCTGGATGTTTGGGAGAGACTCATCAGTGAGCTTGCCCATTGAGATTTTCAGTGTCAGTAGACTGAGTGCCTCCATTCTTTCTATATACTTCTTTTCCCCCACCACCTCTTCGGACAGTTGGAGTTGGCTGAGAAATCCTTCTGGTTTCTGAAATCTTTTCAATTGAAAGATAAAGGGTAGTTGGTTTTCTCCTTCCAGCTGACAATGTGTCTACTGTTTTAACGTAATACTTGGGGGCATTAATCTACATGCTCCTCCAGTGAGGAAAATGACATTATTCTTTTTCAGATGTAGAAATCCCTGAAAATCCTGAGGCCTATCTTAAAATGACCACAAAAACCTTGAAAGCGTCTTCTGGTAGGCCCCTGCCCATGCATGTTCTCAACACGGCAGCATCCTGCAGCATACACTGCATCCTAAACTTCGCTCCATGTCGTGTCTGACCTCCGCCTTTTGTGGACACCATGCGCCTCGGTCCTTGTGTCATGGTGTATTTACACTGCCGTACTCACACATACCCGCGTGCTCGTTATAAAACCCCACACAACCAACAGTCTCGACGCCATCCCTCGCCTCCCCCTCAGGCCTGTGCAGAAGGGAGTTTTTCCTGGTGCCTTTTTTATTTTTCCTCCATCTGACTAAAGTCCTTTGGCCTGGGCCAAGCTTTTTTCATGGTGGCTTGGTTTGGAACTATTTCCTTGCTTATGGTGATTTCCTGGGAAGAGGAGGAGTCAGTGGGCGGGAGTAGAGGTACTGTTGTATATGTGGTAGAAGAAGCCTGCCTTTCCTTGATTTGTAGCTCTAAGCTGTCTTCTCTGACCCACCCCATCTGCAGTGGTGGGGTAGAGCCACAAGCAGCCCAAGTCCATCTTGACGTTCTCTCTTGCCCTCACACCTGAGAAACCTTCTGTTCTCTTAGTCCCCAGACCCGGCCTGCAGCCCATTGCCACCACCATCAGCGACCCAGCTCCACCACTCATCCCGCAGCAAATCATATGTTTGTTGTGCTCCATTGTGAACCCATCTAGTGAAGGCAGTGTTGCTCAGTTGCATGTCTCTCATTTCATTCCTTCTGGGACATACTGACATTTTGCAAATGTGCATGCTTTGCAAGAAAAGCTGCAGAACTCATTTTTATACTTTAACCTGATGCCGCATTACCCATGACTTTTTTTGTGTAACTAAATATGGATCTTTTGGTTAAAGAGAATGGACCGTCACTTGTATTTTTGCTTTCAGGTAAATCAATTTCTGATGGCCACTCATGGCATGTTCCTGATAGCCCTTCCTGTCCCAAGCATCACTACAAACAAATGGAAGGTGATAGGAATGTACTGCCCATCCCCTCAGATTCCAGCACCCCTTACAAACCAGCTTACGTAAGTCTTGACCCCCCTGGGTGTGTAACCCAAGTGCATAAGTAACAGTTTTTAAAAAGAGATACTTTGGTATATACCAGGTGTGCTCACTCCCCGGGCTCGTGTTTGGAGTTGATTTTCCCATGGTGACAATACCTGTGCTGAGCTGTTTATACTTTTGGGCCTGGTCTCATGAGCCCTGGCAGAACTGATTAGATTTATAGATAGGTTTCTAGCCAAAAACCATCTTTATATATTGGCATGATACAACAGCAGTTATTACACCTGTGCTGATGGTGGAGAAGTGAAGTGCTGGCTTTCCTAAACAGCTCCTGAGCTCTCAAGCCTTTATTCCATTTACCTTTTGACCACATACCCTATTCAAAAAATTATGACTTCGTATTCAGAAAGATTTGACAGTGTTCCGTGGTAGATATAGGTTGATTCCTAGACCTACCACTAAATTGCTATGGGGACTTAGGTACTTTGCCTTAACTCTGTAAGCCTGGACTTCCTCATCAGAGGATAAACCTACCTCATGTAATTGTTGTTAGGGTTAATTTATCAAAGTTCCAAACAAAGGCCTAGTACAAAGAAGGGCCTCAGAAGCGGTCGTCATTATTATTATTACTATCATAGGGTCTCTGTGAGTTGGAATCAACTCGACATCAGTGGGTTTGGTTTTGGGTTATGGGTTGCTGCTATTGTTTATAACCATAAGCACACCTCTTTAGTTAAATTTTCCTCAGGCAACAGGAGTCCATTGGCAAGCTCTGGTAGGCAGCTGTTGAGGGGAAGCCAGCCTGGGGTTTAATGCTGGCCCCATATCATTCACAGGACAGAGAATTAGCAACCAGAGAGTTGAAATTTAAATATCTCTTGTATTTTTAGTGTCATCTTTTAGAGAAACCAGAAGCAATGTAAGCATCACTGGATTAGTCCTCAAACGGCCCTCTCTGTCTAGGCGTGAATATTGCTAGGTAATTGGACATGGTCACATCCCAGTCATTTGATAATGGGTTGCCCATGCCCAACTGAGAAACTCTTCCTCTGGCTTAGCAAGCAGTTGTCATTTTTAGTCCTGTGCCCTCTGTTGTGCTGAATAAGACTTGCCAGTCTGGGGTACACAGACCCAGCCCTGGGCCTTTGCTTTCCATCCAGGGCCCATGTAGTTTGGCTTCTCCCAGAAATGATGCTTGTGCTCCTCACCTGGCCACTTTAAAAGCCCAACCCTTTTATTGTGTCTGAAACTAGGTGTATCACCACAAATCTGAAGGGTTTTTTATTTTTTTATTCCACACAAATAGGCCATATGGACACAAGCCAAAGAAAGTATGGCTTTTCTAAAAAAAGGATACATTTATTTTTGGAAAGGCCTGAGATAATAGCCCCATCAGCTCTGTGATAACAGAAGAGTCAATATGTGCAGTGAAAGATAAGCGCTTGGTAATGAATGACTCTGGGAGACGGATTTGTCCTCTGTGTTTCCAATTCCCGGTGATAATAATGCCAACCACCTCTACAGAGTGACTGGGAGGGCTAACTAAAATTCTGTAAAACAACTGTGACAATGTAAAAGTGCTAACACGGTAACGGCCTGGTAAGCTCAACAACTGTTTTTAACTCTTTTTGCATGGTTCGTTTGAGGAGTGCTAGGAAGCATGCAAGTTAAAGCAGGCCATTTTATCCCCGTCATTGACATCTCATCTGCTTCCCACCTTGTGGGCCTTTGCCAAGGCTTTATTTCTGCCATTAGCTCTGTTTGCTTTCAGTGCTACCCGTACACTTGAGTGCCTCTGAAATACTAGCAAGTCACCCTCCAAAGGGAAGGGCCCTGTGTCTTAATTTTTTACCTGTTCATACGGGCCAAGGTGCTCTTCAGATAACCTTTAAAATGGCATTAAAATTGATATTTAGGATTTCAATGATAACTTAAAATTCATTTCCCTCTAGGCAAAGCTGCTCTTACCTCCAGGTACTGATGGTGGCAAAGAAGGCCCAAGAGTCTTGAACAGCAGCCCCCAGCAGGAAGAGGAAGGGCTGGCTGGTCTAACTGGGCAACAGTCAGGTATAGTTAAAAGTAGGTGGTCATTAAGAGATGTGGTGTATGGTTTTTTTAGGTTAGCTGGGCATTTACTTGAAGTTGTTGCTCAACAGAACATTAATGAGGAATTGGCCAATTATTTACTTCACAGAAACTGCTGAACTTACTGTACAGCAGTCAGTGTTATTTTAGAATAAGCTGACCTATATTTACAATCTAATTCCTAGACTGTCCACTTTACTTTCAAAACTATTCTTTAAATATTGACAAAACAAGCCTCGTTGTGATAAAGTGCATGTTTTAATGACTTTACTTATTTATAAAGATCAGACATGAAGATGATCAAAGAGCTGTGATATGGGTTCTCTTCATGCGACCAAGTCAATGATTATAAAAGTTATAACTAAGGAATATACATTAAGTCTAAACTAAAGCTGACAGCACTGACCTGATTATTCATTGGCTAAAGGAAAAACCGCCTTAAAAACAGCATTAACGGAAGCACTGAACTTGAGACCATACCTAATATTGACAACAAGCTGGATTTCCTACTACCCACCTGCCTCATTCCAGCCTTGGAGGGAGTGTAGAGGCATGGGCCTTGAAGCAGAGCTAGGGCAGGCAGCGGGGTGGGGGGGATGCCATTTCATACTCCAGGCAAAGAGAGAACTCCCAAATCCTGTTCCTCCCGTAAAGTTTTCATCACTCTGGCCACTCATTAATTGGGAGCAGAGAGAAGTGTGTTTTCATTTTCGTTGTTCTTTAATTGGCAGCTTTTTATTCTAGGTGCCTTTGATAGATGGGAGCTGATTCAAGCACAAGAACTTTGCAACAAACTTAGAATAAAACAAAACTTGCAGCAGCTGAACTCTGATATCAGCGGCATCACCACTTGGCTGAGAAACACTGAAACAGAACTGGAAACATTAAAGATGGCAACACCTCCCTCCAATATCCAGGAAATGGAACTCAAAGTGAAGAGACTGAAGGTGAGTTCGAGATGTGGTGGGAAGGAGGAATTCAGAACGTGTTAATGATGCAGACGGCACCTGGCAAATGGTGTGTGGTAGGGGCCAACCTGTTGATTGGTCTTCTGTCACTGGCAGTGACATGGATGCAGATTTTTTTCATATGGAAGAGCATCTACAAATGATCCTCAGTGCTGGGAAGGTCAGACTTGAGTCATCTCCAGATTCTAGGCTCTCAGGCAACTTTTACCGTAACTGTAACTTAAAACCACCCTTGCAATTGTGTGCAACAGTCCCAGTCAAAATTGGTGGTGGAGCATCTTGGAAGGGTAGGGAGTGGGGAGGACTAGCTTACCACTGGTGAATGCTATGACCTGATCTGGTTACACTATTATGCAGTTAGGATTTGTCACCCATAGAACAAGCTCCCACCACACTGGGACTAGCCAGGGAGCAGGGGAGTGGCCGTTTGAGCCCTGTACTTTGGGGGTGCTCTGAGCATGAGTTCTGAGAGGACCCAGAACAAGGGTCTGGGGGTATCTAGACACTGTTCATATTTTTGCAGTCCCTGGGTGGTGCAATCAGTTAACGTGCTCAGCTGCTAACTGAAAGGTTGGCAGTTTAAGTCCAGTGAGAGGTGCTTCCAAAGAAAGGCCTGGTGATCTACTTCCAAAAAATCAGCCCTTGAAAAACCCTATGGAGCACAGTTCTACTCTGACACACATGGGATCTCCATTAGTCAGAATCGACTACAGCAAGTGGTTTTTGGTTGCTTATTTTTATTTGTATTTTACTATGTGCATTGGTCTATCAAGGGTTATGATTCATTCTAAGGAATAACATTTCTGTGATATTTGGGGGCAAATGCAGGATAACTGGGTATATTTGATCTGGGAGACTGTTAATTTGTTCTAGATTTTTATTGAGCCAGCCAGAGAGCAGAGGCTCTAGAGGTCAGCAGGATCTGTCCGCCCGCTGGTCAGGTGGCTGCCTGGAGAGAGGCAGGCAGGCAGGCTCTGCTCGCAGGCCCTGCCTGCGGCCAAGTTCGTGACTTGTAAGGCAGCTCCTCACCTGACGCCGCCCAGCCAGTCACGGGCGAGGTCACTCTTGTTTCTGTGGCCACAGCTTGGAAAGCATTTGGCAGATCTGTTCCCTAGCGAAGTTTGGGGTGAACCCCACATTGTGATTTTCAAAGTGCCTAACCTCTTTTCTCTCTGCCGTAGGAGATCTTAAAAGCCTTTGACACCTACAAGGCATTAATAGTCTCTGTCCACGTGAGCAGCAAGGAATTTCTGCAGACCGAGAGCACCGAGCCCAAGGAGCTCCAAAACAGACTCCACCAGCTGATCCTGCACTGGGAGGCGGCGCAGGGAGCCGTGGACAGCTGGAGAGAGGGCTTGCGGCAGTCGCTCATGCAGTGCCAGGTACGCTGACTCGGCACCAGGCCACCCAAGAGCCGGTGCCCAGAGAGCAGCAGCCAGGCTCTTGGGGCCCACAGAGGTTGGGGAAGCAGATATTTATATCATAGTCAGGCAGCTTTGGCTCAGCCAGAAGTGGCCTGTGTGAGAAGACATGAGTGGTTTGCTCGTTTATTTCCAAACAAAGGTCACCTGCCGTCTCAGAGGCCTGATGTTTGCCTGTGTCCCCTGGCCCAGGTTCACGCCCACTCCCAGAGTAAGGGTTCCAGCAAGTGTTCCAGTAGGTCAGAAATGCCACCTCAACATTTCCTCCTTCTCTGTCCTTGTGTCAGGAGGCCTTATAACAGAGTAATCAAGAGATCTGGCCCTGAAACAGGAGCAGTTTAATCCAACTCTATTAACTTAGTAGCTGTGTGACTATGGGCAAGTCATTGAACCTTCTAGACCTCAGTCTTCTCATCTGAAGGATGGGGATAATTTTAGTACCTAATCACAAGGTTCTTTTTAGGACTAAATGAGGTACAGTGTGTATCATCTTAGCCCAGCGCCGACACATAGCAAACACTCAATACATGTTAGCTGTGCACTGCTGTTTAGCTCTGACCCATCTTAGGTGACGTGCATTCACCAGCACGCCTACACAGAGCCCTGTCCCTGGGCCACAGCCTGTCCTCTTGGGTCGAGTGTCCCTTAGCCACTGAATCAGCAAATGGGAAGAGTAATTTCTTTGGTCTTCATAGGTAATTTCAGTTCGGGCTCCATCTTTTTGTTAACGCTTTCCACTTCACAAAATTCATCATGCTTCCTGGACAGTGCCAAGTGCCCTCTCCTTCCCTGCTCTCCATTTTCCTTGTTTAATTTAAACTTGGCCCTTTTTTTCCACTGGATAAGACGAGAAGAGCAAATGACCATGATGGATAGAAAAAGCCACCTGCCTTCCCAGCACCTCTTCTTAGTTCTAAGAAAGGGCAGTGCTATAAGGTGTGTTGTTTTTCAAGGACTTCCACCAGCTGAGTCAGAGTCTGCTCCTGTGGCTAGCAAGTGCCGAGAACCGAAGGCAGAAGGCTCATGTAACTGATCCAAATGCAGACCCTCAGGTTCTCCTGGAGTGTCAGAAAGCACTAATGGTAAGTGTCCTCCTAAGGGGTTCTACACCACCATTGGCTTCAGTCCGCTACCATAGGTCAGAGTACTTAGGCAGCCTGGCCTGCTGTTTGTGAACAAAAACCCTAAGTGGAGTCTGTCTTTCACTCGGTCAGAAGCAGCACCCATGACTTCATATTCCACTTGGTGTCTACTGCACATCCCTTTGTGGTTCTGCAGCAGAGCCACCCGCAGGGATGAAGAGCCATAGTCCAGAGCAGCACGTCTTCAAGACTCGGAAGTTGAGGACACAGACATTTAGCAATATCAGAAAAGTCTTGGAGGCTAGCTGTCATTTCATGTATTTATCTCAAGAGCAAACCAAGATGAGACCTCTATGTATTCTCGCTTGTACTCAAGACTCAAGGTGACATTTTTATCCGCAAATTTGTATGTGGTTTAAATTTTAAATATTTTAAATTTCATCAAAATGCTATCTGTTTAAAATATGTATATAGATAGATAGATGTCCTAAAATCTTTGTAAAGTCCCACTCTCTAGAGCAGCACTGTCCAATAGAACTTTCTATGATGATGAAGATGGTCTGTATCTGTGCCGTCCAGTATGACAGCCACTGGCCACATGTGGCTACTGAGCACTTAAAATGTGGCTAGTGTGACTGAGAAACTGAACTTTTGATTTTAATTAATTAATAGCCACATGTGTCTAATGGCTTGCATATTGGGCAGCAAGCAAGGTAACTCCCCTCAACAATTCAGACTGATTTGTCTGATACATAACTCGATACTTCTTAATTTATCGATCTTAGATTTTCCCTTGACCTCCTGCCATAATGGACGAGGTCCTGATCTTCCCACATGACTTTTCTCACTTCTTTCCCCTAACTCCTCTAGTATCACAACTGTCTTCAGGTTGAGAAGGAATAAAGAACGGGAGGAGAGGGGTAACCTACTTGCTACCTAAGTGATGCTAGGCAGGCAGATTTAAAAAGTAAAATGTTCTGGAGTTGAGCACCACTCATATTCATCCCAGAACTTTCCTGGCACTAAGAAAGCCTCATCTGGCCACACTAGCTTCTCTTTTGACAAGTAACTTTTTCACACTCTTTTTTACTTCTAGCAACTTGAAAAGGAGCTATTGGAACGTCAACCTCAAGTAAACTCCTTACAGGAGATTTCAACCAGCCTTCTTATTAAGGGGAATGGAGAAGACTATATTGAGGCTGAAGAGAAAGTGCATGTTATCGAAAAGAAACTCAAACAGTTACTTGAGCAAGTGTCCCAAGATTTAATGTCCTTGCAGGGAAGCCAGGTGAGTCCACTTGGAACTTTTAAATGTGAAGATGTCATAGTAGATGCAAACAGAAAAGCAATGTTGCAGCCTTGCTGTGGAGAGAGGCTGTAAGCTGGAGTCTCACTCATGCCCCTTTCTAGGTGGGTGGCCTTAAAGAGTTATATCCACTCTTCGAATCTGTTTAGTCCTTTGTAAAAGGGAGCTAACGATAGTACCTACCTTTTTTTCATGGCTGGAGCCTTGAAAAACAACTCTAATCTGGTATCATTTCTGCTTTGTCTTCATGCCAAACATACTCAAGCTCTCAGCTTTCTCACATGACAGTTTCAAGTCCGCTTCACTCCCTGCTCACTTTCTTATGACTGTGTTCTCATTTGTGTACTTTCTTCTTTTTAAAATGTGGTGCAACTCAGAACACATGGAATACCCAAACCATGGCCTCACCAGATTAAGGGCAGGCCCGTCCCTTCCGTTGTTGTTGTTTGTTGCTGTCAAGTTGATTCTGACTCATGGCGACCCCATGTGTGCAGAGTAAAACTGCTCTATAGGGTTTTCAAGGCTGTGACCTTTCAGAAATCAGATCACCAGGCCTGTGTCCCGAGGTACCTCTGGGTGGGTTTGAACCTCCAACCTTTCAGCCAGTAGTCAAGCACTTAACTGTCTGTACCTCCCAGGGACTCCTATCCCCTCCCTTCTGGAGTCTATATATTTCCTCCTGTGCAACCAAGACTAGATGAAGGTTTACAGAACAAATAGTTTCTCATTACAGTTAGTACACATATTGTTTTATGACATTGGTTAACAACCCCAC